AAACCCTCTTCGTACTTTTTAAAGATCCCATGTCTTCACAAAAGTGTTGCGTTCTTATTTCAGGGTTTCCTCCCAGCCATTTTCAACGTAATTGGCTTACTACAATACCGACATTCACCAAATATGATGTTGAAGCTCTGTCTACTGGTCAGCAGTCCTCTCAACCACTGGTATAAGCATATCTGATGGAAAGGTTGTCCACACTGGGGATTATCACACACTTGGTCAGGAATTGCACCATCGAGTTGGAAAGCATAGCAGATTCTACAATCCATAGTAAAATCGGATTTTTCCAGGATACTGCGAGCTGGAAAATCAATTTCTAAAACGTCTTTCAAGTTTTGTAACAGAGTATTTTCTGGATCCCACAAATGTATATTCTTGCTTAGCTTAATTCCCAGGGGTTTTATCACATGGTCAGCTCCTAGAAAGTAACACTTGGGAGGCGTGGTGGGGTGCCTGGGGTCAACGTCTATATTTACTGATGCATTATTCCCTAGTGCAATCCTGCGTGCTGTGGCGCTCTGGGTGGGTTTCTCTGGCTCAAGGACCCAGGTCTTCTCATCGATTTCATCCATAGCATCCCAGAATGCCTTCAGTGAGTCCAAAGCTGCTAAAAACTGACTGTGAATGTTTTCTAAGGAGCTCTGTGATGTCCAAGACACAGGACACGGAACTGGAAAATCCACCAAACAATCTGGTGCTTCTTCTGGATACTTCGCCGTCAACTTGAGGGTGATGTGATGCTCCCTACCAGACGCATCTTTGGCGGTTAACTTGATGGTGCAGAAGGAAGGATCCACATACACGAGTTTGTCCCAGCCGAGTGTTCCCAGCTCTTCAACGAGGCGTGAGTAGAATTGTGGAGGAGGTGCCTGTGCATCTCTTGCTTATTCTTTAAAGCAACTTCCAAAATCATCTTCAACTCCATCATAAAGCTCATCAGATCAGGAGAGTGCTGCATTCTCTGTTGTATTATTTGATGGTATCCATTTAGTATTGTTCTCATCTGCCAACTACAGAGCAATCTGTGCCAAGATGAACCCCTCGTAGATGGTCTTCTCCCGGTTCTGGGGCAGGAGCAGCGGGCACAGGCGCAGCAGGCTGCCCTCCATGTCCGCCCGGACTCGGCCCCCGCAGCCCACAACAAATTTTAAAAGCCCTCTTTGGAGATCTTGTCACCATTTTAAAAATTAAAATTCTTTTAAAGAATTATTATTTAAAAGTATAATCATTTTGAATTTGTTTCAAATAGATTGTTTCAACAAATTGGGCTGTTGTCTCAAATAGAGAGCTTTTTGGTAATTGGATGTCTTAGCTTTATCACTTCCCCCCTCCGTGAAAAATGGTGTAATGCTTTAGGTAGCTTTTGCCAAGAAAAACTATGGAGTAATGCTAAAGTGGAATGGATTGTTAGGGCAATGATTCGTCAGACTGCAGATGCTTACAAGTAGCATCCTTTTAGCAAATTAAGTGGCAAAAAAGCAACCAGCATATCAATGCAGTTGCATAAGTCATATTACTTACAAGGGTCAAATAAGAAAAAAAAAAGAGGTGAGTGAAGATTATGTTTTATGAGTTAATGAAAATATAAAGAGGCTGAATGTATTTTAGAAATATGAATGTCATATATATGTATCATATCTTCTGGGAAACAGACACCAACGCAGAAATACATGTATTTTCCAGAGAAGAATGCTTTAATGTGCAAAAGTAAACAAGTCCAAGTGCAAAAGGAGACACATTGCACTGGAAAATCTACAGTAAGAGACCTTTACAAATTGTTGAGGAGTAATGATGTCAGTTTGAGGACTAAGATGTATCTGATTCAGATCATAGTTTTCTCAGATTACTTGCTATGCATCTGAGAGCTGGACAATGAATAAGGATGACAGAAAAAGAATTGACGTCTTTGAGCCGAGTTGTTGGAGAATAGCACTGAATGGAGAGCCAAGAGAACAAACAGGTATGTCTTAGAGAGGGTACAGCTGGAGTGCTCTTTGGAGGCAAGAATGATAAGGTTTTGCCTCACATATTTTGGTCATATTGTTAGGAGAAGCTATTCCTTCGAGAAGGACATGATGATGGGAAAGGTCGGTGAAGGAGAGGAAGACCCTCAACCAGGTGGATTGACACAGTGACTGCTGCAATGGGCTCTTGTGTGCCAAGGAGAGTGAGGAAGGTATAGGATAGAACAGGATGCAGACCTTTTGTTCACAGGGTTGCTATGAGTGTACTCAATGGCATCTAACAACAACAACAACAGTGACCAAGCTCCATCATTAGTGGAGAGCTGCTGGGGTGCCCTTGGTTTGAATATTGCGATGGACTCCAATGGAAGGTGGTCAGCAGACTGATCTCTTCAATTCTGTTCTGAAAGGCTACCTGAACCGTGCAACTACAACAATGCCACAACGTGTGTTATGCCAAACACAATAAAGAAAATAGAATTCTGGTTCAACCAAGTTTCTTCTGTCCTTGATAGATGGAAAAACAAACAACCCAGCTGATGTGGAGCCAACTCCATTTCTTAGCACGCCTAGGAGACCGAGTGGAACTGCCTCCGGAGTTTCTAGAGAAATCGCAATGGACAGTCTGCCACAGCTTTCTCCTACAGAGCTTCTGCTTAGCAACAGCTGACCAGGGTCCCTTCTCTCTTTGACTAATAGGAATTGATTTTTTTTTTGAAGTGTGACTTTAAATTAGAATGCTATTCTTTTATTCAGAAGCCCATCCTCGTGTTTCTAACTCTGATTCTGGTTTTCCATTCACTGTGGGTGGAAATAAATTACAAATGTAATGTCAAATAATAAATAAAGGGGGAGAAGCCCTCAATTTCCTTGTCACCAAGCTGAAACAAATTAATAGCTGACCCACAAACAGGTTTTTGGGAGGCTATAAACTGTACTGAGAAAACTGTCCATCTTTCTCCGTAAGAGTCACTGGTAGATTCAAACCACCTGAAAGGTGCCACCTTTAGGGTAGCAGTGCCAACTCTCTATAGTAGATAAGAGCCTATTCTTATTATAAGTTTTGAGTGTTTTGACTCACATAAGATAAGGTAATTGTTAGAGGTTATTTATTAAGCAATTTTGAAACAAGCTTCTTATTACAAGTATTATCATTTATGAATTGGTTTCATTCAGGAGCAATCCAGAGTTATAAGACATATAGATAAAAAATGTTTCTTTTTTTCTTTTAAAATATTTTTCTATTTATTAATTTACTTTTTTGTTCATTAATTGTTGCACATTTTTCGCCCACACCCTCCTTTCCCCTTCTCTAGTCCACTTTGCAATGCACCTCTTGTTTCAGGTTATTGTCATACATATAATGCTTAATCATAAACTCCTTTCAGACATTTCTTAACCCTCATCTGTTCCAGTGCAGTGTTCATTATCTATCTACTGTTTGTCTATTTTCCTCCCAACCCCCCATGTCAGCCCTATTTTATAGCAACAGTATTATGCATTATTTGTCCTTTTGTGACTGAGATATTTCACTCAGCTAATATCTTCCCAGGCCATCCATTTTGTGTACTGTTTTACAAGTTCATTGTTTTTTAATTCTGCATACTGTTCTGTTATGTACTATGTACCATAATTTTTCTAATCATTAATTTTCATATGGGCACTTGGGCTGCCTCCATGTCTTTGCTATTGTGAATAGCACAGCAATAAACATGGGTGTGTATACATCTGTTTGAATTGCTGCTCTGGTTGCTTTTAGCGTATATTCTCAGCAGTGGCATTGCTGGGTCAAATGGTTTTTCTATTTCCAACTTTTTGAAAAAGCATCAGACTTCCTTCCATACTGGTTTTACATTCCTACTAGCAGTGAATAAGAGTTCCAATCTCTCCATAGCCTTGCCAGCATTTGCTGTTTGCTGCTCTGTTGAACTTTTCTATTGTTGCTGGGGTGGAATGAGCTAGGGATATTGAACAATTATGAATTTCTTCTTTGGTGAAGTGTCTATTCCTATTTTGTGCCCTTTTTGCAGTTGGGTTGTTTACCTTTTTCTTGTTGGAACATTCTATAAATTTAAAAGATGATGTTTTTGAAAAGATGACAGACTTGAAGATTTATGGCCCACCATAGTAAGGCAGACACTATGTAGAGAAGCAGGCAGATGCAGCTACAACAGAGAGACACCAGCGATGGTTAAGAGCCACCAGAACCTGAGAAGAGGCACAGGCTGCTCCTCTTAGAGAATTGTGGGCACTTAACACAGCATATGACCTGGTACTAATACTATTAAGCAATGATCCTGCTTAACAAGAACAGCAGTAACACCTGGGAACAGTAAGTGCTTGACAAGAACAACAGCAATGCTACTAAAATGTGTGCAAGATCAGTGGTTATTGCGGTTAGTACGTTTCTTGTACCCATCATTCTCCCTTGCAGCTGCTGGTGAGTTCCAACTGCCAGAGAGTCACTACGTTTCAGTAAGCAGCACAAGTTCCTATGGACTGAGCCAGTAGAGCTCCCTAAATATGTTTGTGGAGTAAGGGTTATTGTAATATTATCCAACTAAAACAAAGTGTAGCAGTGAAACAGACTAATCTAAAGGACAGATGGATCACTTGAACCTCAACTTCCATGACTGAGATCAGGAGAGCCAGATGATGCCAGATTACTAGCGTTGACCACTCAATAAAGGGTCATAGTAAAAGATCTTGGCTAGAGTGGGAGGAAATGTGGAACACAATTCAAAAGCAGAGAAAAAGGCCAGGCTTGCTGGTCAAATAGATAACTGAAGGACTCTCCTAGACTATGGACCTTAATCACCCTTCAAACCTGGAAGAAAACTTACTCTTCTGGTTCAACTTTCAGCCAAACAATCTCCATCTCTCTCATTGCTCCCAAATGAGATCTCACACATAGCTGACTATTGGGTTTCCCAGGCTGTAAGTCACATGGGAGGAAAGTGCTCATTTACTCCCTGCAAAGCCACTGGTGGGCTCGAATCTCCAGAAGGGAATGGCCTTCAGCTTAGCAGTATGACCCCCTATGGACTTCACAACGAGAGCTCCTTTCCAAACAATGTGAGCTGGTGGTGTTGCCCTTGAGTCAGCTGTGACTCACAGCGACCCAGTGCACAACAGATCTAAGCTTCCTCTATGCTGTAACACCCTCACCTTGCCAAAGAGTTGCTCTCCTGCACCTTCAAGTCAAAACCAACCCATCACTGACCTGCCAGTGGGGTTTTTAGAGGGAGTAAATTGCATAGAAGGAGACTGTCCATCTTTGTTCCACTGAGAAGCTCATGGATCCAGGGCGCACATGTCTGGGATTGCAGCACAAGCATATTTGCTCCATAGAATAACCAACCATAAGCAGTCAAAAGGGTAGTAGTTGCCCAAGGATAAAGCCTAGATGGTAGCAAAGGATAAGAAAGAAGGAATAATGGAAATGATAATTACAGGGAGGTAGTGGGAAATACTCACTTCCACTGTGAATATTATGATTAATGTTATGAAGCAAAATGTATATGAATGATCAAATGGTTAAAGTTTACTGTTTGCTTTGTAAATTTTCACTGAAATCGCAATTGAAAAACTAATTGGAGGGCAGAAGTGTATATAAGACAAATCCATAGCTTGACTTTTTTTTCACATTTATCAGAGTTATTCTCCTTGATTAACTTTGTTGTTATTGTTGTTTAATGCTGTCGAGTCATAGACGACTCATAGCGACCCTATGAACGAACAGCCTGAGCACTGTGCATACATAGAGTTTCCAGAGGCAAGCCATTTTGGAAGTGGATGCCGCTCCTGCTTCCGGGCTTGATTTAGTCTGGAAGCTCCAGCCAACACTGTCCATCATGGGTGCCCATTACCACGGTTGGCACATCACTGTCACAGGCTTCAACATCACAGCAACCATGAGTTACCACTGTACAGCAATGCACAGACCAGTACTATACAGCCTAGAAGAATGTTTGACAGGAAGACAATTTGAACCTGGCCCTGACCCTAACCCTAACCCTAACCCTGATTAACTTTATGATAAGTAAATATTATAAGTATAGATATAGTTCTAAAATAAATGCATATAGAAAAAGAAATTGATTCTGCATACAGTACAACTGGGAAAGTGGTTTTACAATTTAAAAATTTGGAAAATCTTTTACAATACAAATTTAAATTTCTCTATCATCCCAAGGAATGCCTGGAAGAATAGAGTGGGTTAGAAGGCAGATTGTGATTGGTTTTGGTGGTTTTTTGTTTTTTTAAATGAATACTGCTGTTGTTAGGTGCCATCAAGTCAGCTATGTCACATAGTGACCCTATGAAGCAAAGATCTGAAACATGCCTTACTCCGCACCACCTTCATGATTTCTGTCATGCTCAAACACATTGTGGCCTTGTGAAAAACACTGTCAGTACTCAGGGTACAGTCTCAGCTCCTTTTGGCAACTGGTGAGTCAGTATAATCCCCTGACCTGGGTCACTCCCATGCTGGGGATGGTGTCTTCTAGCTGCCTTGTGTGTGTGGGCAACATAGGGTCGGAACCAACTCATAGCAGATCCTGCAGTGGTTTTTAGAGGCAGTTTAATTGCATGTAAGGAGATTGTCCATCTTTCTTCCACGGAGCAGTTGGTGGTCTTGAACCATGAGCATTTGGGCTTGCAGTGCAGCTTCTTGCCACTAAGCCACCAGAGCCTGTATCAATTTGCCTATAAGTTATGCATAGTATTGGCCTGACAAGTCCTTAAGAAATCCAACCCAAAGTTAGTTGAGTGAGAGTGAAGTTTATTAAGCAATTTTGCAAAATTGGGCGTTCAAACCCAGACAAAGAAGCAGGCTGGTGCATCTTCCACAGTTACCAATAGTTTGTGGTGTTTTTTGTCTTTGGGTTCTTTTCCCCCAATACTTTAAGTTTACAGAAAACTTGAATTTCCATGTGTTTGTTGTTGGACAATTTCCTCCCTCCCCTGCTCCCTAGTCCAATTTGCTATACACCTCTTATTTTGGATTATTGTCATGCAAATAATACCTAATCATATATTTCTTTTAAACAGTTCTTTTCCTCATCTGTTTCAATGCAGTGTTCATTATTTATCGCCTATTTTATTAATTTCCTCCCAACCCCCATGTCAGTCCTGTTTTGTAAGTGGCATTATGCAATATTTGTCCTTTTGTGACTGAGATGTTTCACTCAGCATACTGTCCTCCAGAGCCACCAAAAGTTTTTATCTCTCAGTTTACAAGTCCCTTCCCTGATTCTTCATTAGCTCAGTATGATGGGTTGTACCATCTTTCCCACACTTCCTCTAAGTCTTATCTTTTCTCTCCCTTTCCCTTTATCCTGTTTACATACACATTCCAGGGGCTCTGTGTTGTATCATGTTGGTTAACAATTTCTGTTTCTTTTGGGCTAGCTTCTGGCTCATTACCCCAGCTTTCATTCTTTCTATGCTAAAGATGGACCAGCCTAAAATCTATTTCTTAAAGGTAATTATTGTATTACTCTACCTTGTTGAGGGAGGGGCTTCTTTTCTTTTGCTGTTCCTCTACCTTTCTCAGCATGATGTTTCTCTCTAAGGACTCCTTCCTCCTGAAAATATTCCTAAAGTAAGTGAGACAAAATTTCACCATCCTTGCCTCTAAGGAGCACTCTGGCTGCACTTCAGGCAACCAGAAAAAGAATTTTTCTGGAATGAAAAGGAGAGTTCCACAAAGATGACATGAACATTAACCAAGTTCCTGAGTCTTGTGGGGTTAAGCACGAAGCAGTCTTGACCCAGCTGTGTTTTTCAATGGATTTTCCATTTGAGTATCAATCATAGCTGGCAGTTTCCTCCACAAGCCTCAATTTGATGTCATAACCCTAACCTTTTTGAAAATCAAAGGTATATTCTTTTTAGCTATTACTTCCAAAGATAGAAAAGAATATACAGTGAAAAATGCTATTGTTGTGTGCCATTCAGTTGGCACTGACTCATAGCTGACACTCCATTGTCTTTCTAGAGCCTGTAACTCACACAGGAGGAGACAGTGCATCTTTCTCCTGCAGAGCAGCTGGTGGATTAAAGATGCGTGCTTTGGGCTCCAACTCCATACCTATTACATCTCCCTTTTCCCCCTGCTCGCTACTTAAAAAACCCATTTACAATAGAGTCATATCCAACCTTATAAGTGCTCTGTACAATTTTCACTTGTTGAGTTCTGGGTAGTAGATCACCAAGCCTTTTCCCTTCAAGGAATCTCTCGGTGGACTCAAACCTCCCACCTTTCAGTTAGCAGCCTAGCACATTAACCATTGCACCATCCAGTAACTCTGCTCACTACTTCTCTGGGCCATTTACTAGAGAAAGCATGGTTACTAATTTCTTGTGTATTATTTCAGAGAAATATTCAATGCATCAAATGTATGCATATATGTATGATACTCTTACTTATATTATGTAGGTTATTCTAGACTTTATTCTTTTCGCAGTATACTTTAGTGCTTAGTCTGTTAGTGCATAGAAAGATATTTCATTTTTAAGATAAAAATTTTCTTTTAATTGTGATTTTAACAAGTTTACAGAGAAGTTAGATTTTCATTCTTTCATTGTTGCACATTTTACCCCCTCTTTCCCTCCCCCCTCCCCAGTTCACTTTTTCAATTTTTTTAAATTTTCTGCCAGTTTATTTACAAAATTTGAATACATTGTTTTCAAGAACAAATTCTTTCAAATTCTCTCACCCCCTCACCCAACAAATTGTACAACCCCATGATTAACCCACCCCTCCCCCTGCATATCCTCATTCCTCTGCTTCCAACCTCTCCCACCCCTCTCAGATCCTTATATTCATTCTACAGTAAGGGTTTTATACAATATTTATCCTTGTGAGACTGAGTTAGTTCACTCAACATAATGCTCTCCAGTCCCTCCCATGTTAGGTAATCATTTACAAAATCATTGCTCCTGTATCCTGCATAGTATTCCATTGTGTGAATGCACCATAAAACAAACTGAGATTTGTATACCAGTGTTCATAGCAGCATTATTCACCATCCTAAGAACATGGAAACAGCCCAAAAGTCCAACCCAGTGTACTTTTAAAAAAAAATATTTATTTATTGTTGAACAATTACCTCCCTTTCCTCCCCCAGTCCTCTTTGCACACCCATGTTTATTGCTGCTTTATTTACAATAGCAAAGAAATGGAAGCAACCCAAATGCCCATCAACAAATGAATGGATAGAAAAACGATAGTGTATTTACACAGTGGAATACTATGCAGCACTGAAAAACAATACACTTGTAAAACATTACAAGGGTAACCCTGGAGGACATTGTGCTGAGTGAAATATCTCAGTCACAAAAGGACAAATACTGCATAGTACCACCACTGTTAAAAGCAGGCCTGACATGGGGGTTGGGAGGAGAATAAGAGTGGGTAGATAATGAACATTGCTTTGGAACAGATGAAGGAAAGAGCTGTTTAAAAGGAACATATGATTAGACATTATACTTGCAACAGTCCAGAATAAGAAGTTCATTTTTCTTTTAATGGCTCTTCAGTATTCCACCGTAACAATATACCATAATTTAGTCATCTTCCTACTGTTGAATATTTGAATTGTTTCTAACCTTTGCTATTACAAATAATGGCACAAAGAATATACTTCTCTAAGTCATTTCTGTCAAAGCAGAACTCTCTTTGTAGCAGACTCTCCCCAGGATTTCCAAGATTGTAAACAGCAAGGGGATAGATTGCCCATTTTTCTTCCAAGAAGCTGCTGGTGAGCTTACACCACCAGAGAGGTAAGGTGTAACCTTGGATAGCAGCATAACTCAAATTGGACTATGCCATCAGTGCTCCCTGGAATATAGTGGATATACACTACTTACCAAAGTAGGTGACCATATCTTGCTTTGGTGTTTTGGGTTTTTTCCCCCAGATGGTCTTTGTAAAGAATTGATTTGTGGGAACTGTATATTTATATAATGGAAGTTAGCTTTCTAGGTATATCTTTTACTTTTAAAAGTTCATGTTCAAGAAAAGTTTATATTAAAAGTGAGCTGGGTTTTTTCTATGTTACATTTTC